GAAAGTAGTTTGATCAAGGTCTTTAGATATGAATTAAGCATACATATATTTGATTGAGCATTAACAGTGCATTAAGTAATTGGATCAAGGTCTTTGGATATGAATGAGGTGTAATTGATTATGTATAATTAATTAGTGATTGTAACTAAAAGACTAGACATTAAGTAGTTGGATCAAGGTCTTTTGAAAACTTTTTTTTTTTATTAAAAGATGTCATTTTATGAGATGTTTCTGTTTCCTAATGATGAAGGTAAAAAATTTTCTGCAGTCTTGGTTTGGTTAAAATTAAGACCAAATCAATGTTGGAGGATTTTAGTTAAATTTTGTGTTTTAGATTTTTTTTTAAGAAAGTGTGGTTGCCGTTTAACCCAACTTATCCAAATTTTATTAAAATAATCTGTTGAATAGTCATATTTTGTAATATTTTCTCTCTAATGTTTCCAGTTTTTCTTGTTTTAAGAATTATATACTATTAAGAAGACCATGAACTCTGCTTGTCAAATGAAAAAAAATGTAAGCAAAAAGTATGCTGTGAAGTGCAAACTTTCTCAGTGTGGAAACATGTTTATAATATTTGAACATTGTTGTGGAGAAAAATGGCATGTTTTGCATTTTCTATAAGTTTTATGAGATCAGGGAAGATTCTTTGATGTTTAACAATGTGAAAATTGTGTGAATTATTGGAAACAATTACACATGTTCCTAAAGTGTGGATATTTATGATTGATGATCTTTGTGATGTATTTGTTTAATATTGGAATATTTATGCAGCTTTTAAATGGTTATATTTCAAAAGGGTTTATAATTTTATATGGGGGAAGCATTGTTTTAGATTTAGCTGAAAAAAAGAAGGTTTATATGTGCAATTTTTCCAGTTAAAGATGAAAATATTGTCACTTCATTTAATATTTGAACCAAAGTATTTTTGCAAGTTTATTAGATTTTTATGGATGCTTTATGTTAATATCGTCTGTTGGTTACATGTTAAACTTAGCTTAATCGAAAGAAATTTATTTTACAAAAATATATCATTATAAACAGTAACAGTTAAAGGGGCTAAGTTGCTAATATTTGGGACCTAGAAATTGACACAAATGGGTCGCAACGCATACAATAATGTAATATGAATGTATATAAATTGATTTACATTCAAGCGTTTCTGTTTTTACTGTAATATTTAATCTCTAGCGTCTGGTCATTCCAGTCTACGCCGATATTATTTATTGGGCTTGCTCTCCAGATAAGAATATAGCGTCACTGGTTGACATGACTTGTGGAATATGCCTATAGCCTCATTTTTCGAGTCCCTTATTACAAATAGCTCTGAAACACATTATGGTACACGATTCGTGTACCAATTGTAAAATGTTTATTTTGTCTTAAATATAGGATATCAGAAGGCCATCTTTTCCCCGGTAAGATCACAACATCAATGTTGATTTAAACCGACAAATAAATCATGTTTTCAATATCGAAGATTTTGGATGATATTGAGTTAGAGACTATTAGCCACTTTAACTTCAATATTTTCTTATTTACTAAATCAAAGACTTTATGGCACTTTATTTAAGGTTTTTGAGTGGCATATTGACAGACTGTTCCTGACCTAAATGTACAATAATCAACCCAAAATAAATGATTGAAGAGAAGGACATCTTTGATCATTTTATGGCTGTGTCAGACTTAGAAAGAAATGAACTAAGATTTCCCAACTCTAAAATTTGTTTGATGAAAATATGTTGATCATACTGTACTATTCTGTCATTCTTGGACATGGGTAGCTCCACCTGGATGTTTTTATTTATCAGATAAATATCTAGTATGTGTATTTGGAGTGTATCAGTGTAAATGTTTATTGGATATATAAGGTGTTAAGATACAGTGAAGGAGAGATGTATATTAAGATAACTTGATGTGTATTGTATAATAAGTGTCAACAATTCATCCCCTTCGTACCTTCAAGAACTGATACACAATTACATTCCTACACGCAATCTCAGATCAAGAAACCAACTGAAACTTTACACAAAAGGCTACGACATGAAGACCTTCGGGTACAGGTCATTTTCCCATGCTGCACCATTACTCTGGAACGCAATTGATATTGATTTAAGGCGATGTGATAATCTCGGGACTTTTAAGTCAAAACTGAAAACATTTCTTTTTAACTCATACTATAACTGAACATTGTAACATTGATATGCTTCATACCATCTCTAAGCGCCTTGAGCATTTTTTATGGATAAGCTGCGCTATACAAGAACTCATTATTATTATTATTATTATTAAGTAATATGTATATATATTGTTAATAGGCAGATATAATTATAACACTTTGTTGATTGTAATGTTCAATATTGGAGGATTTAGATAATTGATATGCTTGAAAATTGGTCAGAACACTGAAATATGGATATTTAAAGAAGTATTCTGGACAAATTGTGGAAATATTATCGTTGGAGGACAGTTTATTTACACACAGTGCTACTGCTCTATCAAAATCCTGTTGTGACTGTTAACCTCACTTAAAAATGAAAGAGTTTCTGTCTGTCTTAGTTTCAGAGCCAAATTTCAAAAACGAGGAAATTGTTACTGTCTTGTTATCAGGGTTTATTTTATTTACTACCTTTCTACATTAGTATATCTTGTGATATGAGTAATACAGGTTGTATCACCAGCCTTAATAGATTCTATTTCTCTCCTGTTAATTTGTGAGATAATTAACAATATCATGGCATGATTATGTTAATCATTAGTTGATAAAACTACACGGAAATGTTCGTAACTGAAAACTAAACTACTTGATTACACAGTAATTTTTTTTCTGCCACAATTTTTCTTTTTTTTCTCAGAGAATCATTTAATTTATTTTAGATAAACTTTACACACTTAGGTATTTTAAGTGCAGAGTTAAAAGTGTGAAAACAATTTTTACATCAACTCTGATACATGTAGCCTACATGTAGTTAAAGTGATGCATGGTCTTTCAATCTTAGCATTTTTCATACTGACAAAAATTCAAGGTCCATTTCTGTACACATTGGCATGCACATAAAAGACTAGGCAGAAAAGCCAACATTATTGTGTTTGTAAGACTTTTTAGAATTTTGCCAGTGTTTTATTTTTGAAGTTTGAAAACTGTTTCTCCTGATAGAACCCTGCCACCCCTTTAATGTATCATACCCACACAATATGATACATTGTTACAATATGATACATTGTTTCATAACCTATGTGTGACTAACATTTCCTTCTTATTTGGACAAAAGTAAAGAAATTCGAGCACCTGTATATAGACTAAGCATATGGTTTTACATTAAATGCATACCATATAATTATAAAATCGAATTACATAAAGAGATTGCATTATGATTAATGTTATTTATTTATTTCTTCTTTAATCTATGATGTTTAGGGCAAAATGTAAGACAGGTCATTGGCGTAATTTTCAACCCTTATTATTATTATTTTACACACATGATACATTCTTTCATATCCTATGTGTGACTAACTTTTTCCTGCTTCCAGTTAAGATTTCTTAGTTTTTGTACAGACAGGAGAGACATTGTTATTTATTCTGTTCTCATGCATAATTCACATATTGTATGCAGCAATGAGAGAATTATTACCGTACGTAAACCTTTTGACTTTTGATGATAATCATTTTATTCTGTCATGAGAATAAATGTCGCAAGTGATTTTAAACTTAGTGGAGAGTTATAATTTCACAGCAAAGGTCACTTATAACAGTACCAAATTGCTTTCAGAAAATTTAGGATTTTAAATTTGAGGCCATGGGAACAAAATTTGTGTACACTGTAAAAGGACAAACATGCACATATAAATGCTGATTAAAGAGTTTATAATGTATTCTGTAAGTTTTGCCTCATGGTGTTTGTGTAGAAGTTTTGTCTTACTCTATTCTGTAAAAGTTCTGTCTCCTTGTTTCAAGGTTTTTGTTAATGTTTCATCTTCAGGAAGTTTTTTTCTAATGGATAATGTTCTATGGAAGATTATATCTCATGGATTCTGTGAAAGTTTTGTCTCATAGAGTTAGTTTGGAAAAAATAGAAATAAAACTTACATCTAATGTAACATGCACTTGAAAGATAATAGTTTGATACATATATAAATCAGTATCAGTTGCTGTTTATTAAATTGGTGACTTTAATTGTGCAGAGATTGTTCAGTTGGTTAATAATTTAAAGGCCAGTACATACTAAAGATTTCTAGCCAGTACTTACAAATTGTTGTATGTACAAGTTGTTAACCAAGGAAGATGGTGGACCACTGATTTGCCACAAAAAAACATTGACTGTTCATTTGTGTGCACTGCAATGTGACCTGAAATGGGTACAAAAAACAGGAAACCAATCCTTTATATTGACTTTTGGTTAATGAAATCTGATCATTAAGATTATCAGTTTTATGAACAGGTTCAAAGTTGGTACATGATAGTTTTATGTAGGAGTTGATGTTTACCTTATTACATGTATATTCATGTCATAATAATTTACATCATTCTGCTGTAGGTAGGAGTAATTTGGCACCGATGATAGCGAAGTGTGAACAGATTGATTTAAATGCACTTTTTAGAGAAACATAACTTAAAATCAGGAAGTTTGATATGAGAACAAAACATTGTTTGTAAAGAATGATGTGAAAATTTTTTTGACTGACTTTTAAAAGTGTTTAAAACATTTTATTGTCTAAATATCTTGTGAGAAGTGAACTTAAAATGAACTACATGTAGACATGTAGTGCCAATGACAAATTGAGAATGCTGTAAGTAAATTCCTGGAAGCTACAGTTTTAGAGTTCTTCTTGTGTGGCTTGCCTGAGCATAATGGTGCCATTTAATGATTAAAACTCATTCTAGTGGACTTGGAATGATTTCTTTTGTAACGAGAACACATGCCGAAGGGTTCTGCTGTCAGCGAATGGATTACCATATTTGAAAGATATTAATTGCTGAACTGCTTTGTTCAGAGTTTGGATTTTAACTAATTGGATAAGCGTCACTGTTTACCATGGATACTATGGAAGTGGAATCGGTAGATAAACTATTTGACTGGAATATGGAATTAGAAGAACCATTGGATCCAATGATCCCATACTTAATTCCAATGATTGGTACCATGGCAAGGTGAGATGGCATGTATTTCTGTTTTTTTTTATTTACCTTAATTATTCTTCAGATTTTATTCTTTCCTCATTTCTGCCAAGCATGACAACCATGACCAAAACTGCAAGGCTCCAGAAACAGGAAACATACATGTAGATGTATCTAATACTGGATATTGGGATATTCAGAGCCGATGCAATGGAATTTATTTGGCAATCAAAGCAACCAGATTTCTGCATGAGAGAACCATATAGAACTTTAATACTTCTGTTCACCTCTGTATTTTCATATGGTCCCAATATTCCAAAGAATATTCATTACTTAGCTAATGGGCAGTCTCAAATACAGTTTGTTTTACTGTTAATTAAAAGTTGTACATTTGAGAGATTAATTTGACCCTCTGAACATTTTATACAGTGCAGATTGGGTTGTGCTCTAGGCTTTACCTTCTTAAGAATTTCTTCAAAGAGTTTATGTTTTTGGCATTTTAATTTAAATTCTTCAACCCATCTTAAATAAACATACTTAAGGATGGAATAAATTTAATTATGTACAGATTTATTAACTTGCCTCGATCAAATAGCATCATATATCATGGTACAGAATCTAAAATGTAATAGTTTGGTTTTCAAAGAAAAAATCTTTTTCCTATATAATACTTTAATAACTCTTTTCCAATAAACAATTGCTTGAAAAGAATTTAAACAAGTTGCATGTCTCTTGTGTGGAATGACTATTTAAATAGAGGGGTCCCAGATAAGTTAATCTGGTCTCTTGCCGGTTTCATGCAATCTGGCAGTTTATCTGTTAGGTAAGTATGTATGAACAACAAATGATATATCTCAATGATCATTATTTTGAAACCCGAAATGTTTTTCTGGTACTAAAAAAGTACTTGATGTGTGCCTATTGACATTCTTTTCCATCATGCATGCAGTCTCTATTGAACTGAGCTTAATGGGTTTTTGAAACATGCACCAACTATGTAGTTTTGTTTTGCATCTATCATAGCTTAAATTTAGATACCTGAGGACATTTTAAAAGTCTATTGGGTTTTAAAGTAAAAAAAAAACAATATCAGGTTTTAAATGTTGAATTTTAATATCAGGCTTAAAAGTCAAATTATAATGCTAGGCTTAAATTATAATGACAATTGCTTTAATTTATAAATACACACTCAGAAGCAATAATCAACATTACATTTTAATGTCAGGCTTAAAATAAATAAGATTTTGATATCAGACTTAAAAGTCAAATTTTAATATCAGGCTTAGAAGTCATATTTTAATTTCAGGCTTAAAAGCAAATTTAAAAGAAGTATAAATCATGCAATTAGATTAATGACAATTGCTTTAATTTATGCACTCAGAAGCAAAAATAAATGCTAAGGTTTCATAGGACATAAAGTGGACTTAGATATCTAAATCTTAATGCCAAAATTAGAAAATATCAAATCAAAACATTGAGCCTTAGAAAATGATTGCTACATTTGTTTAATTGGGTTACTTAATAACTATTTGAAGGAATATCATTCCTTAATTGTATAAGTGGCTTGATAATCATGATCATCAATTACCACTATAACTTTGGCATATATATAGACATGGTTAACAAGGCACATACACAGCATGTAATTAGAAGATTTATAAGTTATGAATAACTCTACTTGGAAACTATAAGTTTGTATTTCTTCAAAAAAGTATGACAGATCACACAGCTTAGGAAAGTTGCAAAGCGCTAGGATATGGTGTACATCTCAAATTAATCATCTATATTCACAAGAATGTATCTGGGACATCTCCTTTAAAATTAAATAATTTGTGCCTTAGTACTCAAATGTTTTAAAGTAATCAGTACTGTATGTGCTCTACATATCCTCTACTTTTGTAGTCTCTGAGGAATAAAGAAGATTTATTCTAATTATGATATATTATCTTAAGTTGCCCACTAACTGGAGAATATTGACAGTTTTGATTTAATCATTTTCTGAAGAAACATTTGGTGCAGGGAGCACATCATGATAAATGGCAAATGTTATGAGAAATAATAAACAAGAGTGTTGTTTATCGTCATTGATTCTTATTACATATGCTATTTTGAAACTAATATAACAATTTTATTTTTTATGCTTATTGCCCTTTACCATCACTGTACAGTATTATTCATCCTATTATTCAGAACAGTGTATTTTTACTGGCTTTGTAACTATATTCTAAGGGGTTTAAACTGAACTCTTAACAGCATTGTAACTGTCTTGTCTGTGGCAGTGCATGCATAATGTTTTTAAAACACCTGGTAGCTAGGCTATCATTTTAAAATGAATGGTCTCATAGTATTGTTGAATTTTTTACAATTGTCCATAAGAATTTTCTTGACGGTTAGGATTGCTTGTAATTTTCATATAATGCTAGGTTCCCACTGTCGTGCGATGCCTTATGATAGGATTGGCCCTATCGAGTCAACAATATGGTATGTGAAGATACGTTAAGATATGTTTCGATACAATCAACATGATTGCCACGACTGACCTCAATATATGATAGGACCTGATAGGATCACCATAATTAAAACATGATTTCAATCGTAGCGAATGTAGCATTAGATATAATGTATGTATATCTAGGAACCAATTTTTTGCAAAAAATGTCTGAACAAGGATGAGGGAACAGTGTAACACTTTTACAATAAATATATGCATTAATATTCTAATAATAACTGTACATGAGATCAGAGAACTGCTCATATTTCAGCAAAAATCATGCTCTTCCCTTTAAGTACATAGCCACCACCTCCAAATTTTGATATTTCCCATGGTGCTATTTTAGTCTTTGTATCAACTTGTGTTAAACAGATGTGTTACCTTCCTGTATTAGACAGCAGGTTGTTTATTAGTTTTGTTGATTGAACTATTAATGTGTTTGGCCGAACTGACTACCTGTTTTCATCAAGTTTTTTTACAAACATACCAATACTCACCAATGTTTTAGTCAATACCGAAGACTGATAGATTATAATCTTTGACCTCATAGCGTTATATGCAGGGCTTATATTTCAGACCTATTTCCTAGTCTTGACTGACTAACAGTAATATTAAATGAAATCGGGTTTAACGTCCTACTGTTCTGAACTGTGCTATGAGGGAAATTTTCCAACAGCCGTGCTACGGCCTACTCTTATTTCCGAATTCCATCTGTTTTTCATCCCTTCCGAACAACTACATGTCCCTTACCAGGCCGTGAGTCTTACATCACTGACAAGGGTGAACCATGCCGGAAAATCCTGATGAACTGTCTCCACCAACGCAGGTATTGAACACGGGACCACCAGGTTAGTAAACCCCCATGGCTCCCCAGTGAAATTGACAGACAGAAGAACTTGCGTGTCAATCAATGTACATGCCATCCAATTAGAATGAAAAAGAAATTTACCATAAAATACAATATTTAATTGAATTTATAGTTTGTTTCTTAACTCAATATTATCCATAATATTCAGCGCCACATATCTGACTTCAAAAAATAGTCCTGATATCAATTTTTTTCACTAACTGACAAGTTTGCAGCCAAAAAACATGAAATAGTTTTCAAGTATAACTTTGAAGATTGTGATTTAAATTCATATTAATATATTTAATTGAATATTAGCAATGACAACCCCAAAATAACTCTGAAGATTGTGGTTTAAATTCATATTAATATGTTTAATTGAATATTAGCATGTGCAATGACAACCCCAAAACTAACTCTGCTTTTAATTTTGCCAGGAAGTTATTTTTAAATATTGCCTTGTGCTGCCAATGATTGCACTTTGTGAAAATATACATGACATGATGGTTGCCAATGTTTTGATATTTTTGTGGGGGATTTAGTGCACTGACCAACTGTCTGTCGAAATCTGTCAAATAAAAAAAGAAAACCTAATAATATCAAAATATAGAGAACAAGTAAGACACTGTTTCAGATATGTTTATCAGCCATTTTAACCATGATTTCAAAACAGAAATGGCAGATGTGTGATTAGGTAGAGATTATAAGGATGGTATATTCATCTTAACAGAAACAACCATTCTGAGTTCCTGCTTATCATTTTGATGCCATGATGAAACTTTTATTTTATAAATCTCCTGAATTTGAATTCAAGAACATTCTGATTAAATGCGGTGGGAGGAACAGGGAATATTTGTTAAAAGTTTTGAAATTAGAGGTAAGGTTTTGACTTTATCAGATTTTTCTCAAACATTTATTAAGATTTGTATCAAATGATTACAGTAACTATTATATAGCTCCTTATATCACAAATCACAATTATTAAGATTTTAAGTTGAAACTTTTTGGCACAGGAGCTGCACGCCATTAGCGCTACCCGCTACTCATCTTGAGGATCTTGTTGTTCTTGCAGGCGACACTCTTCAAAAAGCCTAAGACTCTGCCGATTCAGGTATGATCGACATGAAACATAGCATACTTGTTTCTTGGACAATTGTGCAAAGATTAACAGGCTTTCGATAATTTATATGACATCACATAGTCAGTTCCTGGTCCATAGTACACTCATATTAATTTTTAATGTGTCAGTAGGTATATGATATTGGGGAAATTATAGTGAGCAATAGTGTTCACATATATATTTGGTTATTCATAGTATTTAGTATTCGTTTTTCATTGTCGATTAAATCTAATGGAATTGATCAGTTTTTGTCTCCTATACATGAATTACATGTATTTAATGATATGGATTAAGCGAAATCAACTAATGTTCAGAAATAAACAAACAGAAATAAGGAAAATATATTTGGATATGGCAGATGTATAGTTTCTAACAATCAAGAAATGCACCCAAAAATATTTCATTTGAATAATGATTTAGAATAATCAAATCAAATAGTGAAATCAACATTCAATATAACTATTAGAATGCAGAAAAATGATGATGATTTCCTTTTAAAGGGGGATTTGGGTGGCCGGATGAGTTAACAGCCTGCGCTTTAAATCCTAAAGTCTGTCAATGAGTCAAGTGACCTG